AACCAGAGCTAGAGATACACAAATGAACTAAATCCAGGCCCTTCTCCTTGAGGACTGGTCAGCTACTGGGGGAATGAGATTGTTCAGATGAGCAGTGGCCCTGTAGAGACAAAGGAAAAATGATCAACTGTACCTGACATGGATTTTTCTCCAGAAGGGAGAAGGCAGGGTTTCTGGCTATGGAGTGGTGGCACAGTCAGAGTATTTCTTGTTGAGAGGACAGCAAGAGAAAGGCAGAGGCTGAAGAGAAGATGATGGCCACGTCACCAGCACGTGTCTCTTAGTTACAAGCTACAGAAGCAGCTCTTGTCTGACTAAACTGCAATGACTCTTATTAAAAGGACAATAGGGCTTTGCATAATTGTTAGGAGGACTAGACATCAACATTTGATAAGAGCAGGCTCATGAGGAAGCCGCTGCTCCAGGTTCTGAGAAACACCACCACCACTGCCTTGACCCAGTGAGTGCCAGTGCAGAGCCTGGGACTTGACTCAGGAACCATGCCTGATCCTAAACCTTGCAGGTTTCTCTCCCAGTCAGTGACAGCCCAGTGTCTGCACAGCTGCTCATTTTCAGACTGTTTGCTTCTAGTCACAGTCTTGCCTGGAGAGCCATCCTGAGCTTAAGTTGACTTCTACTTCGTCCACATTGATTCAACAACTTAGATTCACACCATGTGTCAGACACCATCCAAAACTCCACGGAGCAACTGAAAGATACAATCTCTGCCTTCTAAAATTTGTGTGTGTGTGTGTGTGTGTGTGTGTGTATGTGTGTGTGTGTATGTGTGTAGGTCGGAGGTCAACCTCAGGTGTTGTCTACCTTATTTTGAGACACTGTCTCTTATTTGTCCTGGGACTCACTGTTTATGCCAGGCTGCCTGGCCAGTCAGCCCGGGCGGGGTTCTACCAATCTGGACATCCCTGGTTCTGTGATTACAGCTGTGTACCATCTCGCCTGGCTCTTGTACACAGGTTGTAGGAAACAACCTCACAGCAAGCACCAATGTTAACCAGAGTGTACGTTTCAGAAGGAGTTGTGAAGGGGAAGGGAGAAAAACAGAGGTGGAGAGTGAGAGGGGGAGGAGCAGGAGAAGGGGGGAAGGGAGAGAGAAGAGGGTGGGAGAGGGAGAGAGAGAGTGTGAGAGTGATGTGTATGGTAACTATTCACATGACATAGACCAGGAGGCAGAGAAACGAGGCTGAAAACCTGAGCAGAGTAGGCATAACCTTCAAAGACCCTCTGCTAGAGGCCCACTCACTACTCCTACAGGCTCCACAGCCCTCCAAACAGTGCCGCAAGCTGGGAGCCAAGCTGTCAAAACATGAGGTTGTGTTCATGGTTCATGTGTCCAGGTTCAAGGCCCAAGCAGGAGTAAATCAATGGACCTCTAGGGAAAGCCTCCTGAGACAGAGGCAGCAGCAAGGACAGAGGCCTCTTGGGAACAGCAAAGACATTTATACAACTTTAGTGTAGCTACCAAAAGCAAAAGGGATAAGGGATGCTGATGGTGTGGAGGAAGGGGAAGCCATAGCAGACATGGGTTTTCACATCACTGAATGGACCTTGGGCATGTGGACATTTATGTGTGGAGGATGGAGGTCAACCTGAGGTGTTATCCACTTTGTTTTTGAGATGGAAAGACATTCCAAGGCAGAGGAGGTCAGTTATGACTTCTAGTTTAATAGGATCATTCAGAAGCACCCAGACATGTAAACACTTTGATATTGCAACACAACTTTTCACCTAAAATTCATGCTTGAGAGTCAGGTAATAGAGTTACAAAAAATAAAAACTGTAGGGATGAAGACATGGCTCAGCAGTTAAGAACAGTTGCTATTCTTGCAGAGGACCCAAGTTTGGTTCCCAGACCCCACAATGGGCAGCTTACAAAGACCTGTAACTCCAGCTCCTAGGAATCCAACACCCTCTTATGGCCTCCTCAGGTATGTACACATACACATACAGAAATATATACATATTTACAACTTCTTAATTCAAAATAAACCTTTTTTTAAAAAAAAAAAGTCACAAAACACAATGCTTTGAGTAAGTTTGCTATTGTGCACTGGGCTGCATTCATAAATATCCTTGGCACCATGTGGCTGCTAAGGATCTTGCAAGAGAATAATCAAGTGTGTTGGTTGAGCTGAGTTCATACCTAGAAGCATTGCTTGGGAATTCTTTCCAGGTTCCCTGTAGTTTGGGAAGAGTTCTTTTCTGCGTGTCTATAGGAATGAGGGCCCTGATTTCTTGTTAACTTTTGATGAAACTACCCTTAGCTCCTAGAGGCCACCCCTAGCTCCTAGTACCATGTGTTTTTCCACATGGACAATTAATTCTCTGAACCAGAAAGGAGAACATTTAGGCTGAGTCTGGCAGCATGATGGTGTCTTAGATAAGAAGGGAGCCACAGGAATAACGTTCTAGCCTCCTTATAATGCTCTATGTGTTAGAAGCAAGTCACAGACCTTGCCGTACTCAAGGAGGGAAAACCACACTACTACTCTAGAGCATACAGACTAGCCAACATCACTGAGGGTCCCTTTAGGAGCTATCAGTCCCAGATCATAAGAAATATTAAGCATCTAAAATAGAGAGGCCTTGTGAAAAACCTTGTCTCAAAATGCCGATGAGGCAAGGACAGAGAGGAATGTAGGATGGTTCTCTACTTTCCCATCTGATTGCCTAGTAAGTAGAACAGGCTTTTCACACTGAGAAAAACTACTTGGGGTGAATAATGAGTCTTCTCCAATCGGGTGGTAAACAGTATTACTTTTGCCATCATATATTTATTTATTAATTAATTTTTTTCATTTATTTTACATACCGACCAGAGTTTCCCCTCCCTCCTCCTGCCTCCTATCTACCCACCCCCATCCGCTTCTCTGTCTCCGTTCAGAAAGGGGCAGGCCTCCCATGGGCATCGACAAAGCATTAGCCATCATATATTTATGAAAATACTCCTTATTATAGTGAAACAAACTAAATAAGCCTTAGCCCCACAGCCTTATTCCCCAATTCTTAAAAAGCTTGGAGGCCACAGTTTGATCCCCATGCAATTTTGCTGAGCTAAAATGGAGTCTTGGGATATTTTTGCACTTCCATGACTACAATGTACTCTACTTGCGCTGGGAGATTGAACACAGAAATGGTGCACTTGACAAAATGTAAAAACAAACAAAAATCAAGCTTATTTAGCCCAGGCAAGGTGGCACATGCCTGCAATCCTATTTACTTGTCCTGCTGAGGCTAGAGGATCTTCATGAGTTCAAGGCCAAGCTGAGCTAGAGTTATCGATGCTTATACGTACTTCACCAACTTAAGGTTACCTGAGCATTTACCTGGTTTTGTTTATTTGTTTGGTTGGGTTTGGGTTGGTTTTGGTTTTGGGTGTTTTGTTTTGTTTCGTTCTGTTTTTTTTTTTGGGGGGGGGCATTGTAAAGGAAATATCTTCTTCTTGCTTTATGGTTTAGAGATAATGTTTTTGGGGTTTTGTTGTTGTTGTTGTTTATTTTCAAGTTATAGAAGAGTAGAGGAAAAAGTAGAGACATAGCAAACTCTGTAAAAACCAAACGAACTGATAAAAACTGCATGCATGGAAGACTCACGATTAGATCTATTTGGGTTCACATCAGGCACTGTCATTTTAGTCTGGGAGGTTGAGTGGAACTACCAGAGAAGTGGGATGTTCAGGAAAACTAATTTCAAAACCCTGATGTAAGGTGCACTGAGTAACTGCACTCTTTTCAAAGCCTTTCCTCTCCCACAGACTGTCAGTGAAGGGCCGTGGCTCTCTACTAACGCTCAAGGTGTGCTCTCTTAAGAGTCTACCTGCAAACCTAAGTCAGGCTGGCTCTGTCAGGCAGGTTTTTTCCCCCAATGGAAACAGGAGAAAAGCTAAGCTAAAATCCCTATATGACAAGAGCAGTATGACTCGGTATCTTCTTGTCATCAAAACCAGCAACAAAGATAATTCCCGCTGAGATCACACGTTTACCTTTGTTTTCTGATTGACTCGGAAGAGTCTATAAGCCTTCCCTAAATCAGTCACTGTGATCAGGGCAATGCAGTTGCCAAGATCAAAGGACCCACCTTGTGTATGTATGGGCATCAACTCTACCCAAAGAATACAGCATCCCACGGGAAGACTGAGTGCAATTCTGATTAGAATGAAGGGATGTTGGGTGGCAAACAGGAGAGAGGGACCCACACTGAGTGTGGCTTTTGTATTCATGGCAGGATAATTGCCAAAGACATACAGTATTTTTGGTTGTGTACCTCACACCTCCCTTTTCTCCTCTGCTTTGCTCCCATGCATTGACCCTATTTGGCGGAAAGCTCCAGAAAGACTCAGAAATAGTCTATGTAGGCCAAAACCTCAGATCAATGAAGGAAGGAAGCCCTTTTCATACCTGTTAGGGGAGAGAAGATTCTCTGCATGTATCAGTCCTCTGGGTACCACCAATTAATTTATGCAGTAGAGGTTTTGAAGAGCATGCTCCTTAAAAGAGGGAGGGAGATCTATGGAGACATGAGGCAGCTTGTAAGGAAGTTGAAGCCTGAGAAAGTTCCATATTTAGAAGGTAAAGAAAACGAGCTAGCACTTTCAGTGGACATAAGGAGAAACCCTGTTGCCTTGGAGAAATCCCTAGGACGGCTAGGGATGCTCCAGCTAATTAATCAGTGTTTCACTAGCAATGCTGATAGTTGTGTAGTTGGACGGCTGCACCTTCAGGCACATTTTCTTTGCTATTTAGTGTTTTTCTCCTATCATATTTGGCTTAAATACCCTCTCATTCCATGACCCCATCTCTCCCCACCCCTTTTCCCTCATGTCATTATAAAGGCCCCACATCTGATATTAACCTAAAACTTCCTTGATTCTTTAAAGTGAGTTATTCATTGACAGAGCCTAAATTACTGGTTGGTAGCAAACCCAATCCTTTCACACTACCAGTTGGCTTGGAGGAGCTGCTGTAAATCTACCAAGGAAATAAGTGGAGCTTTGTGCCAATTGTTAGATCTACACAGAAGTTCGGAAAAAAACGGAGGAAAGTTACTCATTCGCCTGATCCCGCTCGTGAGTCCACAGGAGGGACTCTCGTGCAGAGCCAGCTTGACAAACACACAGGGAGGTGCCAACAGCCACGGACAGGACAGGCAGGCGCTGCAGGGCTGCCTCTGAGCACGGTCCTGGGTGCCCGCTGAAGCACTCTAAGGATCAAGCATTTGCCTTCTGTTGCCTGCACCTGCCAGGGTCCTGTGTTAGGAGGTATGCCTGTCTTCTTTCCTGTCCTTTTGTTCGGCAGAAACAAAAGCCAAGCAAAGTAAAGGCCAGAAACTGCAGGGTGGCGAGAATGGAGGGGGCCTGGGAAGTAGAGCAGAGAAACTTCCAAGGGCTGGCTGATTATGCAGATGAAATGCAGTTAGGAGCTGTGTGTGTGTGTGTGTGTGTGTGTGTGTGTGTGTGTGTGTGTGTGTGTGTGTGTTTAGTTTTTGGGGTATGGACGTCCGCTTTTCTGTGGGTTACTAAAACATGTCTCTAAACTACTAGGGCCAGGTAATCGTGCTAGACTCCTAGTGTGTACTTTATTGTTTTTCTCCATAACTGTGGTCTCCTTTTCACACATTCGTTCACCTTAGGAAGCTTTTGCCACGAGCAGAGGAACTGTCCCTGCTATTACCTTCGCAGAAAGCTAAGAAGCATCATCCCAAAGTCAGTGGGTTGGACACTGTTCATCATTGTGCTAGGTGTATCTTATAAATCATGATCTAATCTAACCACTTCTTTGTTCTCTCAAATGCAAATTCAAATCGGCAGAATGATCAACATTCGGGTTCCACGGAATCCATTTTTTAAAGATTATAAAGGTAGGAAATCATTTGAATTGTTCGTCAGCAGTAATATTGGGAGTTTAAATGAAACAATCATATGCTCAACACTGTGTGCTCCTCACGTTTTGAGAATTTGGGCATGTTTCCTGAAAAATATTAGCCAAACAGAATTTGAATTCAGATTTTGAAAACCAAGATACATGTTGTTCTAGAGAAAATATGACCTGCCAAGTCAAAAGTTGCAGGTGATAAAGCATACGTAGGCAAACTATGAAATCATCCTGAAAGACCACTGAATTCTCAGCTTATAAAGTTTGTTAGATGTGATATGCTGCCTCTCATTGCCCATAAAGGGAAACACTTCTCCAGCTGTGTTCAAAACTTGCAATTTGTGTTTAAAATGACATGTTTTGAGCTTTTAACTAAAGAGATGACCAAACTTAACATTTGTATGTTCTTATAAGAAGCTTGCTACAAATTTGGAGTTAGGAATTCTGACAAAAACCCTGAGGTCTGAGTCTCTTAGAATTGTTTGGGCTAATCTAGCATTGGCAGCTTCTGGTACAAGTGAAATGTAGCAACACGCCAAGCCAAGGGACCCAGAGCTGCCTGGGGAAGAATAGCCATCTGTGGGGAGAGCTGAAATATATTCCGGTGATTCCCATGGGAACGCCTGTAGCTCTTTCACACCCTGTGAAAAAGATGTTCCTTCAAAAGAATCTTTAATCCCTCTTTCAAGAGAAAACTCTATCTGGGAAATTTATTCAGTTTCTTAGCATCCAAATGGCCCTAAGTTAGTCAGTAGGCATTTTAAATTCAGGTAAGTTAAATGAAAATGTTTTGAGGCAGAGTCACGTTGCTCAAAATGTAAACCTTGCTATTCTAGAATTTTCTGACATAGGAAATCAGGCCTATTCTAACCTGTAAGGTAGAGGCTTGAATTCCTCAGAAGAAATTAATTGGCTTCTTGAGCTAATTATGTTTATCAAAATCGTCCCCTAAAGAGCTTTCTATGTTCTACAGGCACTATCTCTATATTAGAGGGACTGAGCCCTGTGGTAACTCTTATACAGCAGAATCTACAGACCTGTGATAGAGTAAATTATTAATGTATTTATAAGTGAACAATGAGTATAGGTCACCTTGAAAAGTCACCAAGAATGTACCTGGTTCTCTGGAATGGCATTCCCTTCTGCCTGGTAAACAGCAGAGTAAATATTATACTAATATGGAAAACACAGGTATTTGGGTTACCCAGCCATGAAAAGTCTAAAATACATTTCATCCTAGTCTGTCTATGATTTGTAAACAAAACCACTGTTATTATTAAGTCATGGTGGAGGTAAGAAGTAAGGCTACTTCTCCAAGAAATAAGAGTTGCCCCCAAATCCACAGGGACCCAGTCAAGTTAGTGAAATTTGTATGATACAAATGAACTATGTCCAGACCTACGATTGAGGAAAAGTACAACCAAAATGTACAAATGGCACAAATAGAAAACAACAACAAAAACCAGAAGTATCTTATGCTAAGAACTGAATTTAGTTAATAGTACCATAGAGTTTCGACATTTAAACAATATGATGTAATGATGTGTTAACAGGAAATTATCTGTAAGAACAAAAATGCCCAAGATCTGGAGGCATAAAGTTTTAATCCACCTACTCAGGTGCTGAGGCAGGAAGATCGCAAATTCAAGACCAGCCTGGCTACAGAGTGAATTCAAGGCCAAGGTGGGCAATTTAGGGAGATCTTGTCCCCAAATAAAAAGCAAAAAGAAGGCTGGGGATATAGATCAATGGTAGAGTGCTGGCCTGACCTTCATGAGGCTTTGGGTTTCATGTCCAGTACCAGAGAAGCAGAAGACTACTTGAAAGGACAGGATTGATGCCACTTGTGTTTGATACAGCCTCAAAGAGGCTAATTCCCCGCCCCACGTCCCCACTGCTGAGTGGCATAGCTGAGACTGAAGACCAGGTGTCCCCAGGTCCCTACACCCTCACTGCTGCTCCTCTTGACAGTGTCTATGGAACGACAAGTTCCAAACCCTACCTGCTCAAAACATTTAAGAACGCTGAACAAAATTTAAGGATTTCAAAACCAGCAGTCAGAAAACTAAAGTTGAAAGAACTCTATCTAATCCGTCCAAGTGGGAGACTTCAGTAGTTATTTTGTAAGCTGGAAAATTACTAAGAAAGAATACTCTTGGGGGGGCAACGGTTGGTGTCTCCATTTTATCAAGGAACTCTTCATGTGGACAGTTCTGCCCGTGAGGACAGTGAGAAAATATGATGGAATGCCAAGTGCCTGGGATGATTCATGGCATTATTCTCTCAGAACGTTGTTTGTAGCCCCTGACCTACCTTTGTGGGGAGCACCCCAGGCCAGACAGTGTCTACATCTTTGTCCTGCTGAAGATGGACTTAACCTGCAGGAGAACTGCCTTCATGATCCGACTGCAGGTGGATTAAAAGAATACAGTTCATTGTTTAAAACAGAGTTTTAAATGTGCACCCAGCTGTTTAAACAATTCAGAGGTTGGGTGTGGTGCTCACACATGTAAGCCCAGCACTCAGGAGGCAAGACAGACTCCGTGAGTACAAGGCCAAGCTGGTGTACATAAGAAGTCTGGTCTAGGCCAGCCAAGGACGAATAGTGAGACCCTGTTTAATAGATAAATAAACCGGGCGGTGGTGGCGCACGCCTTTAATCCCAGCACTCGGGAGGCAGAACCAGGCGGATCTCTATGAGTTCGAGGCCAGCCTGGTCTACAAAGTGAGTTCCAGGACAGGCACAAAACTACACAGAGAGACCCTGTCTCGAAAAACAAAAAAACAAAAAAAAGAAAGAAAAAATAGATAAATAGATAGATAGATAGATAGATAGATAGATAGATAGATAGATAGATAGATAGATAAACAAATAAATGGGCTTAGATGCCCCCCACACACACACACTCTTTGGGGTGTCAATAGATTAAGCAAGATAAACTTTTTTCTGACTCTTGTAGCAATACTTAAAAATGCAAATCAATAATGTAGATCAGTGGTTCTCAACATGTGGGTCTCAACCCCTGGGCAGGTCAAATGACCCTTTCATAGAGATCACATATCAGATATTTACATTACGACTCATAACAGTAGAAACACTACGGTTATGAAATAGCAACGAGAATAACTTTATGGTTGGGGGGGTCACCACAGCAGGAGGAACTGTATTAAAGGGTTACAGCATTAGGAAAGTTGAGAATCACTGATGTAGACGCTCACGACAGGGTGGAAAATTAAGTGTGTGGTTCCACGGAGTGAGTTTGTGCCGTCCTCTAGCAACTCCTTATATCCTTAAACTTGCAGTGACATTAATCTAGAGGCAGGGAGGAAAGATCATTTCTTCCAGGCGGTGACTCTACCCAGACAAGGCTCCCTGTTTTGAATTTCTGTATCTCACTCTTGAGTTTCCTGCTCCCGCTGGGGCGCGGCCATGCCATCACCTGCTCCAACCTGGCCCTACCTACCAGACCGGCTTCCTGCGTGGCTTCCCCACCCCCACCCAATCTCGGAAGGGAAAGTGTAGATTTCCACGAACACAGGGCGCTCTGTCTTCTCGGGCTGCAGCGGCTCTCCCTTACTGGAGCTGCCTTTGTGCTTGGAGGTAGCTTGCCCAGCGAGGGCGAGCAGCCGGTCACCTGACCCGCCCTGGGAGCAGCTGGTGGCTTCCGCCGCATTCCTGGAATTCTTCCTCGCGGCAGCGGCGGGTGGACAGCTGCGGGTTCTCTGTCCGCCTCCCGCCCCAGCCGTCTAGAAGCTTTCGGCCAGTGACAGCAAGTGAGCCTTGGAGGAGTAGCTCGCAGGTAAACTGAGTTTGCGGGGACAGCTGCGACTCCCTGAAATGGGCCGCTCCACGCCGAATCATTCCTCTTTTGTCGCGCCTGTTTTTTTGTTTTTTTTGTTTTTTTTAGGAAAGTTAACTTGCCAATGGGTACCTCCTTAAAAACAAACAAACAAATTTAAAACTAAGAAAAGAGAGTAGGTCTCAAGTTAGGTTCCCTTACACATCGAGGGGAGCAAATTATGAGATAAATGAAAAGCGCAGGGTAGTAAGACAATTTATAAAACAGATTTCTTCTTGGTTATGTGTAACCTCAGGAAAGGCATTTAAAGTAATGAATGACTACTCTTCTATATCCACCCACTAGGTTAGTAGGTATATTGAAAAGTGTCTAACCAAGAGCTTAGTGCCCAGAAAGGATTTGAGTATGCATACGTGTATATGCATGTTTTATGTGTGCACATATGTGCCAACCATGTGTGCACATATATACATATATCTGGTCCACAGTACTACAATACAGATGAGACAAGGAAAGGTATGCACCAATACTAAAAAGATAAGTAGTAGAGATTAGGCAGATTTGACCAGGCTCAGGCCATGTCTTCAGCTTCAGTTACAAAATAAACAAGCAGGAGAAACCAGACATCTAAGCAAAACATTGACCAGAAAATAAATAACTGCTTTGCCAATCCTAATTCTGAAAGAAAAAAAAAAAAAAAAAGAGGCAGTTTGGTGCAGCCAGAGGGGAGCATTCCTTCAGTAAGGGGATGGCAGCTCTGTCATAATCATGCATGGTAGTGTCTTTGGCTACGAAAGGTCCTGGGAGGGCTTTGTACCTGAAGACCTACAGCTTTCTGTCCTAACTCTGCAACTGTTCTTTGGGCATTTGGGCAGCTGTTTATTCTTTTCTCTTAGCTTCAGGTTTTCATTGCATGTCTTGTCATAATCATATGACTCAAAACTTGGGAAGTACTCAGAATAATGCTTGAAGGTGGCGAACACCAGCTCTTCGTTGTGTTGGGGGAAAGACGGGGGTTATATTTCTTGCCTATCGTGTCTGACACCATTTATCAAAAGACAGGCAAAGAAGGGAGTGTTAGATCACAGTTCTATGCGATACAAGAGTTTTCAAACTGAAGACCCATAAACTCAGAGTAAACTGTTCCTTTTTTAAGCTTGGGTTCATTGATGCATAAACAACCATATAGAAATCTGACTGCTTAGAAGGGGTCTGATATAATGTTAGTAGACTGACTCTCTCTTCAGATCTTTCTTCGCCTCTCTGTGTAGCATTCCTTCTTGGTTATAGGTCACAGAAAGTCTTACTGTCAGAAAAGCTATGATAGAGAATGTCATAGCTAGTGCCAACACACAGGCAAGAGATTAGAGTGCAGATCCTTTGTGGTTTGCTTTGCTCTAGCTTCTGTGACCTGCCTTACAGAAGAGAGATTCTAGTTGCTTTGGTTTGCTTTCTGCAGGGAGGGGAAGAGAAAAGGAATCAGGAGACAGGAGGACACAAGGTCATATTGAAACTTTACTCCAAGGCAACTTCTAGCACCTTCACTTTAAGGTATTGTTTTCTTAATCCCAATAGTTTCGTTTTACATGTCATCAACTTTGATCTTTAGTATATCGTGGTAGAGTAGCCCTGCATTAGACCCGTTTTGCAGATGAGACAAGGAAAAGTATGCAGCAATGATCTTTCAGGCCTAGAATCCCAACCTTACCTTAAAAAACATCCCTTGCTCTGAGTTTAGCACATGTGTGATGAGTGAAATCTGTAAGTTCCTTGGTATCTGAAAAGATGTTGCTCAAATGCCGTTTCCTCTACTGAGCCTTTAGTATCCTCTTCTGCTAATGGTGGACTGCTTCTGACTCCCTCACTCTCTTTTGTAATACCCAGGAGACTGTTCTCTAGATCATATCCACATGGCAGACTATTTAGTTGAATTGCCATTTTAAGGAAGAAGGGCCTCTTTTGGTTTACAGTTCCAGGGGATACAGTCGATCATGGTTGAGAAAGTATGGCATACATCCAAAGTCAGGAAGCAGAAAGCAATGAATGTTGATGCCCAGCTCACTTTCTCCATTTTATTCAGTCTGGAACCCCAGCTCAAGGAACAGGGCCACCCAGATTTAAAATGGGTCCTCTCACCTCGGTTGACCTAATCTGCATAATTCCTCAAAGACATGCCCAGAGATTAGTTTCCATGGTGAGTTTAAGTTCTATCAAGTTGGTAATCAGTATAAACATCATGGTGCCTAAAGAAATGTTTTCACATGAAGGGAACAGTAGATCAAGCTGGAAGCATGCCTGAGATGCTTCACAGCAGGCATCATGTAGAGTGGGAAGGAGCTCAGGGACCAACTGCCTGTGGGGCTCCTCTCCATAGGATGCACTTCTGCCTCCTTTCAGATTCCATCTCTGATGTGTCTGGGGCAGCTCAGTTGCTCCATGAAGTGCAGACATTGTCCAATGACCAAAGCAAAAACGCATTTCTATCCCTTATCTATGCTTCTGGCTATTATTTTATGGAGATTATCCCTTGCAACTGGAAAAAGAATGTGTTAAAAGAGAACTAACCTAACATCCTTTTAAGATATTGTAGCTCATCATTCCTCATGATGAATGAACAGGGACATTCATCCCCAAAGGGGTCACGACCTACAGGTTGATAACCACTGCTTTAGGAGATTTGTTTCTAACAGTGGCCTCACCAGCTGGACTTCTCCATGTAGCTGGAAGGTTTCTCTGGTCCCGCCCAGCCATGCAGTCCTGAAGACACTTATAAAATAATCACTCAGATGCTTAATATTATTTGCAAACTGTATGGCCTATGGCAGGCTTCTTGCTTAGCTAGCTCTTTCATCTTAAATTAACCCATTTCTATTAATCTATGTTTTGCCACGTAGCCATGGCATTACCAGTCTGCTGGCATCTTGCTTCTCCTTGGGCAGCGGCTGGCATCTCTCCTGCCTCTGCCTTTCTTCTTCCTATCTCTCTCTTGGATTTTCCTGCCTGGCTCTATCCTTCCCTGCCATTGGCCAGTGCAACTTTATTTATCAACCATTCAGAGAAACACATATTCACAGTGTATAGAAAGACATTCCATAGCATCTCCATGTTCAGTGAGTTGTATGGATGTTGCCTTCAGTAACAGGGCCTAGTTGTCAGTTTGTGAAGAGCAACCTATTGTTCCAGCAGCAGCCTGGGTTGTTTGGGGATTCCCATGGGACCACTTTGGCCAACAACTGGATTAGATGTAACCCAGCCTTAGTACTGTGTAGCATGAATCCTAATTGTTGTTGATAAAAACCTGGGGCCAGATATCGGAATAAACACTGAAAGATCAGAGAGACAAAGGAACAAGCCACAGCCACCTCTCACTTCACCAACTCCTCAGCCTGAGGAGACTGAGCTCCTGTCTCCTCCCACCTTATATTCCTTTCTCCACCCAGCCATATCACTACTTGTCTCCATCTCCCTAGTGCTGGGATTAAAGGCATGTGTGCCTCCCAAGTACTGGGAGCAAAGGCATGAGATCCAAGTGTTGGGATTAAAGGTATGTTCCACCACCGCCTGGCCTCTATGGCTAACTAGTGGCTGGCTTCATGTGTTAGAGCACACACAAAAATATCACCACAGGACTAGAAGCCTCTGGTGACAAGACAGAGGTGGGACTCTGTCTCTCTCATTATTTGGTAATGTCATTTATGTAGCCTTCATATTTGTACACATTTTAGAAAGTTTCTACTGTATTAGGTTTCCATACTACCCCTCAATGCCCCTTACCTTTAGCTGTCTCTCCCTCAGCCCCCTCTCCTCTCCTCTTCCCCACTGGATCTTCCTATTCACCCCCCATTATTATCTATTTTATTTCCCATTCCTAACAAGATCTATCTGTACCCTCTAGTCCCTTACTCTGTACCTAGCCTCTACAGTACTATGGACTGTAGCTTTGTTATCATTGATTAAACAGCTCATATCTAGATGTAAGCAAATATATACCATATTTGCCTTTCTGATTCTGGGCTACATCACCCAGAATAAATTTTTCTAGCTCCATCCATTTGCCATTAAAATTTCACAATGTCATTTTTTTAAATGCTATTTTTTTAAATACTCCATTGTGTAACAGTATATTTTCTTTATCCATTCTTCTGTTGAGGGACACCTAGGTTGTTTCCAGTTTCTGGCTATTATGAATAGAGCAGCAATGAACGTGGTTGAGCAAATGTGTCTGTGGTAGGATGAAGTGTCCTTTAGGTCTACTCCCAAGAGTGGAATAGCTGGATCTTCAGGTAGATCAGTTCCCACCTTCCTGGGGAACCACCACGCTGATTTTCATAGTGGCTGTACAAGTTTGCACACCCACCAGCAACAAATGAGTGTTCCCCTTGCTCTATATTCTCCCCAGCATGAGCTGTCACTTATTTTGTTGACTTTAGTCATTATGACAGGTGTAAGATGAAATCACAAAGTAGTTTTGCTTTGTAATTCCCTGATGCTAAGGATGTTGAACTTTATTTAAGCGTTTCTCAGCCATTTGAGTTTCCTCTATTGAGAATTTTCTGTTTGGATCTGTACCCCATTTTTAATTAGATTATTTGTTTTCTTGTTACCTAATTTCTTAAGTTCTTTATATATTTTGGGTATTAGCTCTCTGTCTTAGTTAGGGTTTCTATTGCTGTGAAGAGACAGCGTGACCATGGCAACTCTTATAAGGAAAACATTTAATTAAGATGATGGCTTACAGTTTCAGAAGTTCAGTTCATTGTCATCATGGCAGGGAGCATGGTGCCATGCTGGCAGACATGGTGTTGTCTACATCTTGCTGGCAACAAGAAATGGTCTGTCTCACTGGGAGTAGCATGAATATAGGAAACCTCAAAACCCACTACCATAATGACACACTTCCTCTAACAAAACTACATCTTCTAATAGTGCCACTCCCTTTGGGGACCATTTTCTTTCGAACTACCATACCCTCTACCATATGTGCAGTGGTTAAAAACAACAACAACAAAAAAAACCCAAACAACAACAACAACAAAAAAAAACCTTTCCCATTCTGTAGGCTGCTACTTTGTCTGAATGATGGTGTCTTTTCCCATGTAGAGGCTTCTTGGTTTCATGAAGTCCCATTAATTGTTGATTTCAGTGCCTGAACTAATGGTGTTCTGTTCAGAAAATATTCTCCTTTGCCAATGAATGGACTATCCTCCACTTTCTCTTCTATCAAGCTCTGTGTATTTTGTTTTATGTTAAGGTATTTGATCCATTTGAAGTTTTGTGCAGTGTGAAAAGTATGGTTGTATTTGGATTCTTCTACATGCAGTCATCCAATTTGACCAGCACCATTTATTGAAGATGCTGTCTTTTTTCCAGTGTGTTTCTGTCTTCTTTATCAAAAATCAGGTGTTCATAGGTGTGTGGATTTATGTCTAGATCTTCAATTCTATTCTGTTGATCAGTATGTCAGTTTTATGCCCATACCATGCTGTTTTCATTATTATGGCTTTGTAGCACAACTTAAAATTGAGAATAGTGATACTTCTAGCAGTTCTTTTTTTTAATCAAGAAATTGTTTATTCGTTTTGCATACCAACCACAGATCCCCATCTGTTCCCTCCTCCCCGTCTCTCCACAGCCTCCCCCCAAAAAAAACCCACCCTCTTCCCTCCTCTGAAAAGGTAAGGCCTCTCATGGGGAGTAGCAAAGCCTGGTACATTCAGTTGACACAGGACCAACCCCCCCCCCACACACACACACACATATCGGCTGTGCAAGGTGTCCCACCATAGGTAATGGGCTCCAAAAAGCCTGCTCAGGCACCAGGGATGGATCCTGATCCTACTGCCAGGGGCCACTTAAGCAGACCAAGCTGCACATCTGTCTCAACTCCAACAGTTCTTTTATTATTCAGGATTGTTTTAGCTATTCTGTTTTTTGGGTTTTTTGTTTGTTTGTTTGTTTGTTTTGTTTGTGTGTGTGTGTGTGTGTGTGTGTGTGTGTGTGTGTTTCCATATGAAGCTGAAAATTACCCTTCCAAGATCAGTGAAGAATTGTGTTGTAACTTTGATGGAGATTTCACTGAATATGTAGATTGCTAATCCAACTACTATGCTGAAAGTACTTGAAAGCAGTAGGAGTTCCCTGGTGGAATTCTTAGGGTCACTTATATACATTATCATATTATCCACAGTAAAGATACTTTGATGTCTTCCTTTCCAATTTGTGGCTCCTTGATCCCCTTCAGTTGTCTTATTGTTATAGTTAAGACTTAAAGTGCTACATTAAATAGATATACAGAGAGTGGAAAAACACATCTTGTTCCTGATTTTAGTGGAATTGCTTTTTTCTCTCCATGTAAATTGGTGTTGGCTATGAGCTTGCTGTAAACTGCCTTATTATGTTGAATTATATCCTTTGTATCCCTAATCTCTCCAGGACTTCTTTCATGAAGGGGTGTTAGATTTTTGTCAAAGGCCTTTTCTGCTTCTGTTGAGATGATCAAGTGTTGTTTTTGTTTTTTCAGTTTGTTTATATGGTAAATTACATTTATTGAT